TGTGTCTGTGTGTGTGTGTGAAGGTGTGTCTGTGTGTATTTATTGGCTAAGTTTGCCCTTTGTGAGTTTATAGCTAATGCACAAACCCAGAGGATCTCGTTGAACACACATATGAGAACTCTCAAACAACCTTTGAGTTGGATCCTTTTCTTCATATTTTGGGCCACACCTGGCTGTGCACAGGACTCACCCCTGCTCTGGGCTCAGGGGCCCCTCCCGGCGATGCTCGGGGTGTGTTCCCCTGGCCATTTTCAAGACCTGACCTTTGCTAGGAGCCAGCCTTGGTGCTGGCTGAGCAATGTTGAATGGCCTTGGTGTAGTTGGGGTGGGCGCAGGTGAGGCCCGCTCGGTCTCTGTGCCAGGGCAGAACGGCTGGTCAGTGGTGGAATGGCTCTGCAGGGACAAGAGGGTGGAGCACCTTTGTCGCTCCTTCTGACTTGCAGACACTGACCAGGTTTTCCACCGTGTAAAGCAGTAAGGTGCTTTGGAGGCTGCTGAGAGACTGAGAGGAAATGGGTTTTTCAGATCGCCAAGTGTAAGGTTTGCTCAGGACCAAATGGCCAGCTGATGAGCTAGTGACACATTCCCAGAATCTAAGATCACTGCCCCCCACCCCTGCCCTGCTCTCCACCCCATGCATGAAGCACAGGACTGTATTCCACCAGGTGGCATTCCATCTGCCCCCTGGTTAGTGGAATGCCAGACAGAATGCCAGCACCATACTCCACCTCCCTGTCAAAGAGAGCATACCTTCCTTTTGTCCTCTTTCTGCCAGACTTGAAAAAAAAATTGAGCTTCTCCCAGTGCAGCTCTGACCCCAAAGTCACTAGAGGTCAGTACGGCCCAAACCCAGGAGCGCATCTCTAAACTATTTCTTCACTTTACTTGTCCCTGTCTCTGTGCCGGGCATGGTCCCAGGTCTTACCCAGAGAGCTTTGGAAAGTGTTCTTATGATTGAGCTACTGGGATGGAGGGTAGTGGTGACAGTCAGCTTTGAGCTCACACTGTCCTTTCCCACACCCCTGCCACATCTTGCAGAGACACTGAAGGATGTTTTGGAATTTATGATAAGGGTAAATATAGATGCCATTATCCCATTTCCTCACTACCCAGAACCTGTCATAAGTATATCTAACTAATGAATTTCTTTTGTTCCAAAAGTGTTTTTCTGGTATCACATTGTGAAGCCTAATAAATAAATAAATAAACAAATAAAGGAAGCCTATGGAATACTTCCTTTTGAAAGCTGAGATTTGTATGTGAAAGCCGTTTTATTGCTCAGCAGTAATCCCATGGTCCGGATGGTCGGGTAGGGTTGTAGCTGGCCAAGCCCCAGGCAGGTGGCTAGATCATGGAGAGAGCGTGACTTTCCCAAGCAGGCATCGCTCCTTCCCATGGTAGGTCGTGAAGCCCCAATTTGTGCTTGTGCGTGCTCCTGACGGGGCCAGTGGGTTGGCAGTGCATTGTCAAATTCGTGAATTAATTTCACAGTCCTCTGTTGGAAGACTGCTGCGTATGAGGTATTGTTCTTGGAATGCTGGTTGCCGTTTGGAATCCGGTCTTGAACGGGGGTATGGTCAAGGGCTCCAATTGCAGAACCAGATGTTGCATTTGATGCTAACTCTGGGCCTCCTTATTGTCACTCTGGGGAAATATTAATAGTAAAATCAGGATCCTCTCTGAGGACAGCAGGGAGAGAGGGCAGTGGTGAAACGTTGGTGCAGTAGAAAGTATGCTCAGATGGGCCGTCCATGGGCTCAGAGCTGCTCCATCCATTGTGGGGGAGCAGAGGGCTCTTACTGCATGTGGATCGTGGTGACAGACCCCAGGCCTCCCCCGTGCTCCCCAGCTCTACCTCTGCTCTCACCCCAGTCCCGGGGTACTAACCATGTTCCCTACAGTGTCCTGTTAGCAGGTCCCCTTCAGGGTCACAGTCTACGGGCAGAGCTTAGGGTGCAGTTTCCTAGGCAGGGGCTTGGGGTGACCCACATGGGGCTGAGATGCTGCTTCTGGGAGGACCGGCCCTGTCCCCTCAGACCCAGTGGACATGGGAATACTGTGCATGTCCACTCCTGCTTGGGGTGGGGGTCATTCACCCAAGTTTTCTGTGTTCTGCTGTGACTGGTGATGACCAGAGATGGACAGTGGCCATTCCCGGCTGTTCTTCCTCAGGACCAACAACGGATCTGAGTGTCTGTGTTTCCATGAAATGAGAAAAAAAAAAGAAGAAGAAATAATAAGAGGGGAAAGTAACAAAATTCACTGTCAAATTAAGGAGTAGTTGGTATGAATCCAGGCTCCCCGAGCTTGTGCATGTCCAAGTCTCCTCTGCAGATGCCTCATTAGCCGCTGCGTGATAGGGTGAATTTATAAATAGTGTTTATGTGCAGAACAGGTCAGAGACCACTCTGGGAAGTGGAAACAGCATTGTTCATTCTTGGACTAAGAGGAATCGCAGCCAATGCAGACTGGACTTGTATGCTCATCTGCCCAGCAGATGGGGGTCTGGGGGGTATCTTGGGAACGCCTCACTCACCACCCTGGGACCCCATGGCACCGTTTTCTGTGTTGACAAAGCGGGAGGTCACAGCATAACTCACAAGTCCAATTTGATTTCTTTCTTTGGGGGGAGGGGTGGTAAGGGAGTTTTGGACCTCACACAGAGGTACTCACTCCTGGCTCTTTGCTCAGGGATGACTTCCAGTGGGGCTTAGGGGGACGGTGTAGAGTGCCAGGGATTGAACCCGGGTCACCTACTCACCTGCATGCAAACAATTGCTTTGCCCACTATGTTATCTCTTATATCCTTGATTTCTTTCTGTGTTTGATTAGAGTACATTATCTACTCGTTTCTGATTTTAAAAAGAACCATAGGAGGATACTTTATGTATATATATATATATATATATATATATATATACATATATATATATACACACACATATATGTCTATATATAAAATCATTATTATTGTTATCAAAACTTGGGCCTGGAAGGAGCAGTCCAAGGTTCAAGTGCTGCTTCTGCACCTCTGACCTCTTTCTCTTGTATCAGCACCTGTGCATCTCACTCACAAGAGTATTTGCTGCGTCCAGTTCCTGCAGCCCAAACCCACTGGCTTTCTGGGCTGCTCCTTACCCTTTTGGCCCGTCACCAGACCCACCCTCGTCACCTGGTTACCATGGAGCCCGGCTTGCAGGACACAGCTGCTGTGATGTTTATGGGACGATTCCTTTACCCAAAGTACCAAGTTTCATGCTGCAGACCGCTCCATCTTTCAGAGCAAAGTTTTGTCTTATTTGTACTATTTTGTTGTTGTTTGATGTGCTCAGTCTAGAGCTGTAGTGCTGATAGCACCTGTGGTAAACATTTAAAAAAAAAAAAGCTCATTTTTCAGACACTCTCTTTGAAACCTGCTGGGCCGTGAATGTGGTCTCCCGACCCCTTGCTCTGTTCTGTTCTGGCTCCTGATGGAAACCCCAGGTCAGGTGAGCCTATAATGCGTGCAGGCCAGTGTCCGCTTTGCCCTTTCGAGGAGGGGAGGGAGTCCTACCTTGCACCGCTCATTCATGGGCGGAAATGTGTTTCCTGCTACCTTCGTGACTGTGACCAATGAGACCGGGCTTCTCTCCCTGCTCTTCCTGCCGCCTTCCTGACGGAATCTCCAGGCTTCGGCTTAAATGGGGTGGTGACTGGATCCCGGGGCATGAGGCCACGAGGAAGTTCAAGCATTAGTGAATCACCCACATATGGTGTCAAGGGTGGAAATCCACAGGGATGGAATGACAGGTTTGAAGAACATGCCATTCTGACACCCACTCCCACCCCTTCCCATTTATTTCCTTTCGGTTTGCTCTCCCACAGTTTCTGTATACTTGTTGTTTTTTCCGGGATCTGGCAGTGTAGGTTGAAAGAGTTTTCTGGAGTCCGGCAGCTTCAAAGGTGCCACTCAGGGTAATTCCTGTTCCACCGTGGGCCCTGCGGGTCACCCACACTCACCCGTATTTCCAGAGAGATCCATGCTGCTGCCTTTGACTCGGGCTGGATGTGGGAGTCCCTGACACAGGTCCCAGAAGCCTGTGCCTATTGTTATGCGTCTAGAAAGAAGCTTCAGGGGCTAGGCTGGTGGTGACTGCTGCATCCACGGGTTAGATGCCCTAGAGCTCCCACTGCTGAAAGTCACTGCTTGGAAGGGACTTCATGCAATTGAGGGAATATTCTTCTCTTGCTAACTCTGACAGTCCTATATATGAAACTCTACTTTTCTTGAGTCTTTAGATAGAACTGTTACCCTCCCTGCCTTCCAGACCTCATTGGAGCATGTAGACACACCCATACTGCTCGGCCCCATACCTGTGATTGAAATCTCTTGTCAATGCTGACTTATTCTTCTACAAATATAAAAGAGCAGAATATAATATGCAGTGTCCCACTCCTTGACCCATGGGGGTCAGATCAAGACCTCCAGTGGCTGCCTAGAACCTTGAATAGTATTGAGCACTTGATGCATTACTATTTTCTGTATTTACTTATCTATCATAACATTTGATTTATGAATTAGGCATCATTTATAAATTAGGGTAACATAGCAACAGTGGAATAGTAGTCACAGTAAGCTTTATTACAAGGGCTGTGGATTCAGTCTTCTGCCTGATTGCACAGAGTATTTCCAGATAATGGTTGGCTTCTTGTTTATTTATTTATTGGGCCACATCTGATGATGCTCAGAGGTTACTCCTGTCTTTGCCTTCAGGAATTACTCCTGGCAGTGCTCAGGGGACCATATGGAATGCTAGGGATAGAACCCAGGTTGGCAGCATGCAAGGCAAGCACCATGCCCACTATACTATTTCTCTGGCTTCCCATGATTGGCTGCTTTTTGCAGAAACAAAACCACAGATGGGGTACTGGTCTACAGAGATTTTTCTGTTTGGTGGTGCAGTAAGAGTTCAGCAGTGAACAAAGGTTGATGCTACTTTTCCATTTTGTCTCTTAAACAGCTCAGTCTCTGAAAGAATTTGCAAGACTGCTTATTGCCGTGGAAGAGGAGAGGAGAAGGCTGGTAAGTCTGCTTCTTATTGCCTCTGCATCCTGTTGTGTTCGCACTTACTAGCTGACCTGGAATATGCCCAGCCGTTATTTCAGACATTATGATTCAGTGCATGCACTAAGTGTTACAGAAAAGATTGATGAGTGTAACTCTCAAATATTACTAATGAGACATGTCATTTGTTCTGTGTTCGATTGATTTGGCAGGCGTAAGTTATCTTCATTGGCATTTTAGTTCTGAGGATTGGAAATATAGAACCAGTTCCCATTAAGAAACCTTTATGTTGGCATTGAGCAAACCTATAAATCCTGATGGTGTAATGGAGCTAGATATATTAGACTCGTTCAAGATTCTGTTTCCAGAGCCTTAGCAGGAGACTTTCTTGAAAGGGTGACATCATTGAGTTGGACCTTAAAGACTTGAACTTTGGCAATGGTGTAATGGAGCTAGATATGTTACATGCATTCAGATCCTATTTCCAGAACTTTAGCAGGAGACTTTCTTGAAAAGGTGTCAGTTGAGTTGAACATTGAAGACTTGAACTTTGAAAATCTGGGAAGAGTAGGGTGGTATATCGATATCTGTGATGGATCAGATATGTTATCTGAGCTCAGGTAGAGCTCGCTCTTTTTCAGAGTTCCATGATGACCTTTGAGGATATGTTTGCCCCATCTTGTTCTCCTCACTTGAAAAAATCATCTCATCTTTTGTGGCACCACCGAATGAGATGTCAACCCCTGTCCTCATGGGACTCAGCTGAGAACAGCTTTCAGGGATGCAGATAGGATGCAGGGACCTACCTGGCCCCAGGGAAAGGTTTATTTATGAGCAGCACGACTTTTTTTTTAAACATCTTTATTGGAAATGCTGTCATTTCCCCCAAGGATGCAGCTGTCAGATTCAGTCATCCATCAGCTTTAACGGGTGAGGCGCTGAGACAGTCTCTCCCCAAGCAAAGAGGGTCTCTGACGCAGTGTAGACACAGAAAGATGCGTCCTGAGCCTCTTCAGATCCTGCTGACTGGGTTACACACATGACTCGCCCTTCCTGCGGGCGGTTCTGAGTGAATCTGAAGAAGGCTGAGAAACCCAGAGACGCCGCCTGGCAGCAGGAACTCTCCTTCAAGCCTTCTGGAAGAGAACTCTGCAGCCTTCTCCTGTTATTTGTAACTTGATAGTGAACTTGCTTTGCCTTTAGGCTTTTGGCTTTGAGTTTCTTCTCCCTGATCCCCAGGCCCTTTTGCCAGGCAGCTGCTGCCCTCCCCCGCCCCGCCCCCCCCCACCAGCCTCAATGCCCTGAGCTTCTTCCCACTCTCCAGCCCTCAGACCCTCCCAGGGTGGCTGTCACCCCCCCCCCTTCCCCCCCCCCCCCCAGCTGTTTCTGGATAGGACATAAGCATCTACACTTGTCACTTCCTGTGCCCTGGACATCCGATCCACTTCCTCTCACAACTGGCTCTGTCTGTCTCATCTTTCAGACTCCAGCCCTGCTGTGTCCTGGTCACTTGCCTTCTCCATAATGGGGCTAAGTTAGTCCCTTTCCATTCTTCTTTGTGGTGACAGGAATAACCTGGTGATGCAATTTGTGTTTTACCACCAGAGAAAAGAATTTTAAAGAAAGATATTATATCTGAAGGGGATTAAGGAGAGAGAGAGAGAGAGAGAGAGAGAGAGAGAGAGAGAGAGAGAGAAGGAGAAAGAGATGGTGTTGGCATTTAATGAGATGAAGGGAGACGGGGAGTCAAGAGTTGAATCCTGAGCGGAGATGGCTGTTGGGTGTCCTGTCTGTTGGGGCAGTCTGGGGGGTCCTGTGACACCCCTGCAGTACCCTGGAGCACCCTCTCGGATCTGCTGACTGGAGAATGGTGGCATTTCCTGTGGAGATGCAGGGCTGGCAATCTCCAAACCTCTTCTCCGTGGGGTTTTGGGTTGCATGCTCGTATCATTTCTAATGAGGGTCACACCTTATTTCTGTTAGGAGGCGCTGCTTATCTCTCACAGCTGACCCAGAGCATGTTCAAGACCCCAGGCCCAGCCATAACGTCTTTCTCTGTTGTTCTCAATACTCAGCTCAGCAGCCCTCTGAGACGCGTAGGCTGTTAACGCCCCATGTGGAGCAAAGGTACAAACCCAAACAGTGGGCTAGGAAGGTTTCCCCTGGCTGCTGGGCCCCAGAGCCTTCCCCTAATCTATGCTGTCACCTCCTCACCTCAAACTTGTCGGGTGAGTCAAGAATTGGGTGATGACATCAGCAGACGAGTGTGGTTGATAAAGCATGTGAGATGCTTGATTAAGAGCGTTCATGTATTCTAATGTTGTAAATAGTTGAGGGGGCGGGGACATGGCTCAGTGCAGGACAGATGCCTCACACTGTCTTGGCACGGCTGAAACAAAACAGAAATAGCAAACCAATGACAGAGACGCCAGGCATTGCCATATTTTATTTTATTTTGCTTTTTGGGTCACACCCAGCAATGCTTAGGGGTTACTCCTGTCTCTGCACTCAGGAATTACCCCTGGTGGTGGTTGGAGGACCATATGGGATGCTGGGGATTGAACCCGGGTCAGTCACGTGCAAAGCAAACACCCTACCTGCTGTACTGTTGCTCCAGCCCTATTGCTGTATTTTAATTCTAGACTAAATCCCAAAGTCATCCAAGAGGAGCCTGTGAGTGTTTCAGCAGAAAGTCGATCCAGGACTGGAATGCTAGCACAGCGGGAAGGACGTTGGCCTTGCTTGCAACCAACCCTCCCCCCCCCCAAGTTTTGTATCCCCAGCATCCTGTATGGTCCCTGCCAGGAGTGATCCCTAAGTGCAGAGCCAGGAGTAAGCCCTGAGCATGGCCAGGTGTGACCCCAAAGCAAACAAAAAAGTTGATCCATTAACCCATTCACAGTTTCCATAGCAAATTCTTAACATGGGGAAGCCAATAATTGCATTTGTTAGACCTATTTAAGTCTCTGGGCCTCCCTGTGCTTCAGCAAGAACTCCTGAAATTGGAGAATATTTTAGAATGTTCAGCATTGCATGTATCTCTTTCTCTTGATGAAAGATTTTCCTTTCTTTTATCTTGCGCCATAAATTCTTGTCTTACGTGTGTGCTGTCGGTGGGTGATATTGATTATCTGTGTTTCTGGCACTTGCCTTTGGACCCTTCGGTCCAGTTATCCATGAAGTAATCCGGTTTCTTTGGTTGTCTCAGAGAGGTGAGACAGTATGCCAGCATTCCACATGCATGAGTGTGTTTGGAGTTCTGTTGTATCTTTAATTTTTATTAGAAACAAACTTTAGGTACACTGGCCTGCAGACCAGCATTTTTATACAGTGACTTCGCCTGAAATTAAAAATAAAATAAAATAAAATAAAAAGAGAAAAACAATCTGCCTGTGCATTGTATTCAAGTCCTGATTCTCACCCATTGAGTGCGGCAGTTTCACTCATGTGTCCCCAAGTTCCCACTTGCCCGCGGGGTCTTAAGGCCGAGCCAAGAGGGGGCAGATCACACACAGTTCGTGACCTCAGTCCCGGTGGCTTCGGGTGGTTTTATTGCAGACAGTCATAGCATCCATTTGTGTGTTTTAAACACTGCAAATTGCTTTTATATACATTTTTATTTGATCCTTACAACAATCTGAAACTGAGCCCAGACTCATTAAATGAATCACTTGGGGTGATGGAGACAGGGACCGAGCCCAAGCTTGGGCTTTCCTCTCCTGCCTCCCCTGCTCTACCTGACTCCTCAAGTCCCTGGACACCGTGTTCTCCAGAGTCCACACCAGCGGGCAGCCCCTGGAAACTGCACTCTACACAGAGTCTATAGCAGTGGGTAGTCCCTGGACACTGCACCCTACACAGAGTCCAAAGCAGCAGCCAGCCCCTGGACACTGCACTCTATGCAGAGTCTATAGCAGCAGGTAGTCCCTGGACACTGCACTCTACACAGAGTCCACAGCAGCAGCTAGCCCCTGGACACTGCACTCTACACAGAGTCCACAGCAGCAGCTGGCCCCTGGACACTGCACTCTACACAGAGTCCAGAGCAGCAGCCAGCCCCTGAATACTGCGCTCTCCAGAGCCCACAGCAGCGGACAGCCCCTGGACACTGTGCTCTACACAGAGTCCACAGCAGCAGGCAGCCCCTGGACACTGCGCTCTACACAGAGTCCACACCAGTGGGCAGACCCTGGGCACTGTGCTTGCCAGAGTCCACAGCAGTGGGCAGCCCCTGGACACTGCACTCTCCAGAGTCCGTGCCAGTGGCACAGTGAAATCCATCAGCTTTCACCTTTGCACTGTGAACAATTCTTGAGTCTCTTGTGCTGGTCCAAGTTTTCATTCATGCCATTGGGACTGTGTTTGACTTTAGTGTGCTCATGCTTACACACCATGTTTTGTGTTTGATTTTGGTTTGGAGACTGAATTCTAGAAGGTATATATATTAGAAGTCATTGTGTAAACCCCTCTCTCTGCCCCCAGGGTGGGCTAGTTCATTTTAAGGTGCCTGTAAAATGAGCCAGAGAAGACACAGGTAGAGAAACACTCCTGCAAAGATGCAGTGAAGGTAAATTTGAAACGCTGTAACCACGCGTGGTGTGGTTAGCTGGGAAATCCCAACTAGGAAAATCCCAGGCCAGCAGCCCCTGAGCCAAGGGTGGTGCCTTGGAGCCCTGGGGCTGATACCCGGGTAAGAAACTGCAGGTTTCATTTGCACCAGGAGAGAAGAGACAAAGACCTTTTGGAATCAAGCACTCCCCCTCCCCAGGTCCCGCACGGGCTGGAAGGGGGCAGCCGGTACCCCTGCTCTCCTGATATTCGGCCTTCATGCCTTGGGTTTCCCCCGCGAGGGATGCCATGTCGTCGTGAAACTGTAGATGTGTAAGGAACTTCCACGCAGAAACCACGTTAGAAGTAAATCTCCGCAGACTTGGTATGCTTTGTTTCCGGGCAGCCTGTGCCAGGCCCGGTTGCAGTTTGGCACTGTCCATCCTTCTGTCCTTTTCCGTGGGTCTGAG